ACATTTTAACATCGAGAAATAATGCATCAGTTTTGCATCAAGCGCTTGTCCGATATGACGTAAATCTACACGCTAAATAAACTCGTATAGAATTTGGACAAATGACCCAAATTTTTTTTCTCTGACCCGAACTTGGACAAACTCCTCCAAAAGTATGCATTGCCTATTTGAGCGCATATTTTTTTTATCTAAGTACGCCACACAGATGTCTCTATCGAATATCTAATCCTCAACCCCATTTCCAACAAAATACTTCAATTATTGCTACATGTATATTATAGCTGTACTGTAGAGTCCATAAATTTACTGAATTATATTTTGTTAATCAATGGTTACCGAGAATTTAAATTTTAAATTTGTGGCTATTCTCAAAAGTTTTTATTTAATATAATATTCAATAATTTTGCCATGATGTAGTACATTAAATGGCCATGCACATATATGTGACTAGTCCAATTCTCTCGTTCTATTTATGCTACAATGTAATAGCTCTGAAACTGAAGCAATAACATTCTAAAGAGAGCTAATGATTCCAAACTTTGTATTGATATTTCAGATGGAAGGTAAAATGTGAGAATCTACTAAAAAGAGCGGTCGTACAAACCTTATGCAGTAAAGGGTAACAAGATTTTTTTTAATTAGTGAATGAACTTTCACATTTAATGTAAAAGGCTACATATAGTATTTACCTATAGATTAGCATGGTTGTCAGTTAATAGAGTTGGTCATATTCTAGACGTTGATGTGTAATATTTGTATTCATCGCAAGCATACAAAAATTAATGTAATGATTCTACTTTTTCTAATCTGATCCAATCAATTAGTTAGAACGTAGTTAATATGGCTAATTAGAGTTGAAAAAAATAAGTAGAGGAAAAGGATTTAATTTTGTATTATAATTAAACGAAAAGCCAAACTAATTTAGTTTTGTTTTATCATCAAATAAAATAGGAAACTAAGTCTCACTGAATTCACATGTTCAACAACTATTTGAGTTCACATAGCTAGTGGTTATAAATTCCAATATTAATATGAATTTAAAATATAATAAACCCCAAATAATTACAAAAAGAATAATTAATATGGGCAACCACTATGGCATAAGAAATAAAGATAATTAATTAGTTATACACGACTAGATAGGTTCTCAAGTCCATCGAACTCTCTATATAACCCTACTTTGATACACATAAAGAGACGCACCAATCAGCAAAGTAGAGAGAGAGAGAGAGAGAGATGGCCAATGCGAAGATGCCCTTCTCTCTTTTGGCCTTCTTTTGTCTGTTATTACAGTTATTTTCCATCTTCCATATCGGTAAGAATATTCTTCCATGCCCTCCACTATCACTTACTTCTTTTAGAGCAATTTAATTTCAACCGTCAAAATTCAATAAATATCAGCTTATCGTTAGTAATTAAACACACATGTAAAGAAAAAGAATAATTTATAAATTAATAAAAATTGTAGGAAATGCCGAACTGGAGATGAATTATTACAGAGAGAGTTGTCCGAGAGCGGAAGAGATAATCAGACAACAAGTGGAGACGCTTTACTACAAACACGGCAACACAGCCGTGTCTTGGCTCCGTAATCTCTTCCATGACTGCGTCGTCAAGGTAGATAATTTAACTCTTTTATCTTATTCATAATATAATATCAAAACACGTTTTATTTATGATCATGTTTTTTTCTTTTTGCAGTCATGTGATGCGTCACTGCTACTAGAGACAGCAAGAGGTGTGGAATCTGAGCAAAAGTCGACGAGAAGTTTTGGTATGAGAAACTTTAAGTACGTTAAGGTTATCAAAGACGCACTTGAGAAAGAATGTCCTGGTACAGTCTCTTGCGCTGATATTGTTGCTCTCTCTGCTAGAGATGGTATTGTCATGGTAAGTAATACACATCATCTATATGCATTTTTAGGATAAATTACTTATTTTTGATTATGGTGCTGTTTTATTGGTGAAATGAATAGTTGAAAGGGCCAAAGATAGATATGATCAAGACTGGAAGGAGAGACAGTAGAGGAAGCTACTTGAGTGATGTTGAGACTCTAGTTCCTAATCACAATGACTCTCTCTCCTCTGTTCTCTCAAACTTTAACACCATCGGTATCGATGTTGAAGCCACCGTTGCGCTTTTAGGTAACAACTTTCAATTCTTATAGTTAAATATGGGTAGAAATTACTCCAAAAACAACTGTTTCAAATAAATATATTTTCGATGCATTTTTACTAAACAATAATGATAATTTTTAAACTTCAAAAAGCTTAATTATGTTTATTAGTTAAATATGGGTAGATTTCTATTGATTTAAAGTTATGAAAACTGTTAATCACAAAATGATGCATTGTAATCAAAGTTTAATGTTTCTTAAATGTGTAAAAATACCAAAACATATATTCAAAAAACATATGGAGTATATTTGATAGACCAGTAGATTTGAGCCGGGAATGGTAAACACTAACCAGGATGAACAATTTGTTTTTTGATGTTGTTCAAGATTTAAGGATAGAAATGAGTTTTACATAAAAATGACTATGTCATTATTACTGATCAGTCAATTTATATTACCGTAGGTGCTCACTCAGTGGGTAGGGTCCATTGCGTCAACCTAGTGCACCGGCTATACCCAACGATTGACCCGACGCTCGACCCTGATTATGCCCTTTACTTAAAAAATCGTTGCCCATCTCCAAACCCGGACCCGAACGCAGTCTTATACTCCCGCAACGACCGTGAGACTCCCATGGTTGTGGACAACATGTATTACAAGAACATCATGGCTCATAAAGGGCTCCTTGTCATCGATGATGAGCTAGCCACCGATCCGAGGACCGCACCTTTTGTGGCCAAGATGGCTGCAGACAATGGTTACTTCCATGAGCAATTCTCACGCGGTGTCAGGCTCTTGTCCGAGACCAACCCTCTTACCGGTGACCAAGGGGAGATAAGGAAGGATTGTCGTTATGTGAACTCTAATTGATTATAATGTTGTGAAAGATAATAATCATATGTTGTATGTATTGTATGAATGTGTGTATGTATGTTAATGGTTTGAATTCAATAAGAAGAAATATCAAATCGTTAAAAGGTTCGATGAGTTATTTTTTTTGTTTTATCATTTGTTTGTATTCGGGAATGATTTCGGAAAAAAACTACCGATCCAAATTTATTCGATGGGACTTTTATTTTTGTCATTTTTGTATATCCGTAAGTGATTTCCCTATAACATCATCTACCGATCCAAACTTTATTCAAACTTAGTAATAGTAGTATAGTACCAAACATAACACGCAACAATTAGTTTAAAAATCATCTAAAACTAGATAATAAATTTATATAACACGTAAATACAAACTTTGTTAAGAACTCAACGTCGGAAGTATGATGAGATATACGGTAAAGTTTTTAGATCTTAACATGATATCATCATCAAGTGATTGACTCGTAGAATGATCTAAGTAAGAAATGTTATGGATAATAGAATACCATTCAAATAGGAGACTTAATAGAACTAATGACTATTTTCCCAAAACATGTTCAAAGCCTCACATCAAACATACGATATGAGATCTAGACTAATATATAAAAACATAGATCAATTCATTAATTACTGGTTACTAATTATTAGTTGGTTTGAGTTCCAGTTTTGCAATTTAACATTTTTAAGCTTTTTTTATCTACAACGTCTAGCATTTTTCAGTTTAAGTTTATAAAAGATAGAGGTCAACTTTGGGATATTAACTAAATATTGTCTATCTACTTGTTGACGCCACAAGCCCAACCATCATCATCGTGTTTGTTTAGTTGTGAGATGCCAAACGAGTTGGGTACTTATCCATGCGTCACCATTGACTCTTTTTGCAATCATTTACATTATTATAAGAATTTCTATACTTAGTTTCTCTTTAATTATCGGCAAATAATTTGGCCAGACTTATTTGGTGTCTTATTAGCATACTTGTTTAGTTATTTTATTTGTAGATCTTGACCTCTTACAATAAACTCATGTGTATTGATAAAAACCAAGTTAAAGAAGTCCATATCTCATGCAAAGTAAACTCACGGAGTCAAACAAATCTAGTTTACTCCAATTATAACAATGAATCTAATTCAATTACTACTAATACATATATGATTAACGAATATGACTGAACCTTGTATAATTGTATGATAAGTGCTATGATGAACTTTTTTTGAAGCTTTGCTATGGTGTACCTTGCTACTTAACTGAGAAACAAACGGTAGTGATATTTTTTTTTTGATGGATTTTCTAGATATACAAAACTCTATACAAATTTTAACATTTACACCAAAAAACTCTATACAAAATCAACAAATCTTTCAATTTTAAAATCAATCAACTCTATCAAAATTTAAGTCCCATCCTTAATCCCTGCAATCAGATCAACCTGTTCCCAGACTGGCTAATTAGCCCATATAAAAATGTTATCATTTATAATGCAATCACACTTTTTTGGAACTAATAATGCAATCACACTATATTTTGCAAAATGCCACCTGGGCCCAATAGAGTTAACTGTAAGAACGGGCTGAAAAGGCCATATAAACATCATCATACGAGGGATAAAACTTTGAATCCCATCAACTTTTGTTTCGTCGGTGATTTAGCTCAGTCATGATCGCATAATTTTATTGTCGCCGTTGGCTTTCACTATACAACAGATTTGCCCGAAACTCTGTTACGTTACACCAATCTGGTTTCCCATATTTTAACACCTTACGAGTTGTTAAGCAAATGAATATTACATACCATAAACAATAAAGATATATTTTTTTTTTTTTGTAACACAAACAATAAAGATATACATATGTTTGTATGCGTAGAAGAAAGACGCGACAAATTACACACGTAGAAAGATTTTATTCAAAAAAAGCAAGCACAAGACGATATGATAGTTCGTGTTCCACACAAAGACACACTTGTTTATGTATGTAACAAGCGCTACTCAGAACACTGGACTCAAAGGAAGCTTCACTTACGGCCCATGGTTTGTTCACCTGGTGGGAGCACCACCACAGTGGACTGAGCAGCATTGAAACCCGGGTGAAGAACCTTCCTGCGAAGCTCACGTCCTTCTTGGCAGAGGGCACATGTATGGCAAAGGAGGTGTGTCACAAAGTCACAAGTCGTCTCCATATGTTCCCTTTGTATCTCGTCCTCTATGCAGCTACCGCAGCAACCACACGACCTGTTCATTGCCTCAAAGCTTCCCTGTTTTAACCCAAAAGAAAACAAAAGATGGGTTCAGGAAATGCAAAATGAGACTATCAAGTAGTCACTAGAGAGCCAATGAGACTAGTCCTGTCCTTCCACGGGTCCTAAAACTCAACAATGATACAAAACCTACAGTCACTTGGGGCTAAGTCCTTACTCATCATCATCCACGAAATCAAGAAGATAAACAAAGACAGAGTAGGATCATCTCTTCATAAAGAACAACCTATTTCTCTCCAAACTCACTTGCCTGTATCCAAACGAAAGAAAACATACCTCAAGGTTAAACCTACGGCGAATGGCAGAACGGCTGGAGTAAGAGAACCATGGAGCAAGACAGTTCCACCCAAACAAAGAGTTACCAATAAAGTACAATCCCGAATACGTCAAGCAGTGGTTCGAAAACGTTCCAGGAGCAGACCCAAGCCTCTCTGCATTAGTTCCATAAAGCACACATGGAGCCACACTTCCAAGAAGACCTAACAAAAATAATTCCCTTATCATCATCACTAAGAGTCTCATCAAAGCCACATAACATCTCATCTTGAGGTTCCTTCTCTTGATTAACCTTGAAGACCCATTTAATCTGAACAATCTAAAGATTGACTCTTTCAAACAAATTACAATCAGATCATTTCTGATTTCAATCAATTTCAAAATTCCCCCAATTTCAAAACCCTAAAAAGCAGACGAAAACACACTCACACGATTACAATTAATATATCATCTATTAAGCTTAACCTTGAGGACCCATAATCTAAAGATTGAATCTTTCAAACAAATTACATTCAGATCAATTCCAATTTAAATCAATTCCAAAATTCCCCCAATTTCAAAACCCTAATCTTAGAAAGCAGAACACTCACAAACTTCGAGATCGCTGCTGCAGAATTCATCGTTTCGTCCGAGACACGAGAACAGACCGGAGTTCCACTGGTTTCTCCCGATCGGTTCGCCGATGACGCTGCCGTCGTTCACCGGCAATCCATCCGCCGTCCAGCCGTATTTCTCCGCCGCGGGAGGAGGCGCAATCGGCGTCGTCTTTGTGTCTCCTTTCGAGGAGATTTTGGTGTCGTTCACTTGCAAGAGAGGACTTGATTCTTCATGGTCGTCGCCTCGATGAGCTTCGCGGTTGTTGTTGTTGTCTTCTCCCGCCATATTTAGCAAGAAACCTTCAAGATCTGAAAGAGAAGAAGAGACTTTTGATTTTATTTATCACGACGTCCCGTTCTACGCGTTAAGTAATTTGAATTAGAAATAGTCAAACGACACCTTCGTGAGTATTATTTTATGATTTTAAAAAATATTTTAAGCCCATTAAATTGTAGGCCCATTTAAGTCCACGAGGTATATACAATTGTTTCTCTTTACAAAGGGATGCTAGATTTTTGTGAAGATAAGTTAGTGTAATCCGTGTTACAAAAAAAAAAAAAAAAGTTAGTGTAATCCATGCCCGAAGACCCAACTAATCCCGCATGCACAGCTTATATGAGTGGCGTGGTTTGAATCTGAGGAGGCGTTTAGCGTTTTTCCAAGCTGGCCGTGTGAGGGTAGTAGTATGGATTATATGAGTACATGACATCTCTTTGACAACACTAGAAGAGACTTGAATCTCAGGAAGTGTAGAGAGTTGTTGCCTCCTCCTAACGTGAGTTTAATCAAGGCAACAACGGGCTTCTATGGAAAAAGAGACAAAAAAACATGAGATATATCTAATTTAATTAATTCTTTGTCTAAGAAGATACAAAACAAAGATAAAACATGTTTTCATTAGCAGAACTTGACTGTATTCAAACTACTACCGCAAGTCCTAATATTTTCGGCTAGTCGTCAAAAACAGTCTAATGACTTTTTTAACGAACTTGAATCTGTTAGTACTCAATAAGGAATTAGGTCACTTAGATCTGGTGAATAATGCCTTTGATAAGCTTTGGAGACGTTACATAAGGAAGAGATTGAGAGGTAAGAAGGATGAGCGGGATGAGGATACGAGCAACAGAGTACAAGAAGGAGAAGCAGAAGCTAACGTGGAAGGGGAGTAACTGATTCAGTTGGAGTTAGTTGTAGCAGTTAGCTCGTATTCGCATAGTATAAATACATTGTATTGTGTAATTGTTGGGTAGGCTTTATTCTTTGTAAAGTGGACTCTATAGAGTCACTACAAGAAAACACGTCCTTTACTAGGACGGGTTTTCCTCGTTATTTCCTAGTAAATGGCCATTTACTAGGAAATAGCGAGGAAACGTGTTTCGTCGAAAGACGTTCATCGTAAAGGTTATTTTCCTCGTAAAGGCCTAGCTAATTTACGAGGGAAGGTTTCCTCGTAAAGCCGTGGAAAACATTTCCTCGTAAGCTCCACGTATACTTTCCTCGTAAGGGCATAGTAAACCATTTCCTCGTAAACTCGTAGTAGACATTTTACGAGGAGTTTGCTAGGAAAGTTTACGAGGAATTTACCTTGAAACCTTTACGAGGATTTTACTTCGAAACAATTTTTTCCTATTAAAAAAAATATTTATAAATTAAAATTATATATATTTAAAAAAATTAAAAAAACAAATAAAAAATATTTATAAATAACTAATAATATACAATAATAAGTTTTAAAATTCATAATATACAATTAAAAACTAAAAAAAAAACTAAAAATGATGCTGGTCTTGATCAAATTGGTTCACGAAGTCGTCTCCAGGGTCGTTGGATGCCGGCTGTGACTGAGATGGTGGAGGCTCTTGGGATGGAAGGGCTCCGCTTTCCCGTCTCTGACGCAACACTTCCGCCAGTTGCGGGTTT